CTCTCTCTCCCTCTCCCCCTCTCTCTCTCCCTCCCTCCCTCCCCCCTCCGCTCATATATATGTAGATCCTAGACCTTGTCCATGTATCTGCAACAGTAAGCATACACTGTGTACACGGGCGTTAAACACACGCCATACCCTACACCTAATTGTGTGTGGCTGGTGAGTACCCATAGACTTATCCACACGGAACTAACAGGTAGCCATATACTCCCAACTGTGTAATTGTTGGTTTGTGTTCAGGCTTACACAAATGGTGCTGATCTTGCTCTGCACTCATTAATTCGACCCACCGCCGATGGGCGGCACTCGAGCGTACACTTCCAGGAGACAACAAGTTCCTTCACCTCCACCAGGAGAAGATCCAATAAGCTGTACAATAATTGTTGTTGTTGTTGTTGTTGTTGTTGTTGTTGTTGTTGTTGCTTGTGTAAAAGGAGAAAATCTTAGAGAAGAAAATTTCCCGTCGCTGTCAGGATTCGAACGAGGGACTTAATGAATGAGAGGCGAACACGAGAACCACCCCCCCCCGACTGCCACTGCTCGCTTACCCGCTATGAATACCACAAGCAGAGTGAGTAAAACGTTTTCTCGAGTATACCTCTACTTTCTGCTGGGCTGTAGAAGCCGGGGTTGGCCCTCTCAGGCAGGATCGGAAGCCCGCCCCCTAAATGATCTGAATCGCGTTGACGGGGGCGTAGAAAATATTATTTTTTTGTTGGATTTAGTAGAGATTTTACAGTGCTCCCAAATGCATACGGTCATATGAGCTCCAGAAGATTATAGGTGTTACAAGAGAGTGAAATGGTTATTTAAGGGGCGGGACCTCCTAGTTTAACGTCCGTCTCCGATAGGACCGAGCCAAGTGAGAAGTTCGTGTAAAGTGCCTTTCCCAAGGACACAACGTCGGACCGAGCTGAGGCTCGAACCCCTGAACTCGCAATCTCACGATTACAAGTCCAGTCGCCTAACCACTAGCCTACCAATGCCTACAAGAGAGTAACAAACATAAAAAAGAAGAACGGGAGATAAGGACGATAGATGTTTGATAGGAAAGAAGAAGCAAACTACACCAGAGCACCCGCCAACCACCCATCGCAGAAAATATCAGATCTACATTCACAAGAAAAAAAAATATACCGATAACTGTATCGTGGTCAGTGGCCAGGTAGGTCGGACAATCCTGACCATTCAGCGGACGGGGACGCGTTCCACAAGTTCAGTACAGCGCAAGGAGCTAAGAACAAACTGTAACTTCCAGTGTAACCTCCTTGGTACCTTGGTACATTGGTACAGCGGAGTGTTTCTTCTTGTTGCCATTCTGCCGGGGTGGCTGTGATTTCTCCTTGAGCTAGCTGGCAAACTCAAGGCGTGGGCGTGTGTGAGTGTGTGTGTGGGTGTGTGTGGGTGTGTGTGTGTGTGTGTGTGTGTGTGTGTGTGTGCATGCGTGTGACAGAGTGTGATGTATGTGAGTGAGTGTATTTGTGTGTGTTTCTGTGGGTCTGTGTGTGTGAGAATGTGGTGTATGTGAGTGAGTGAGTGTATGTGTGTGTGTCTGTGCATGTGTGCGTGTGAGAAAGTGTGGTGTTTGTGAGTGAGTGAGTGTGTGTGTGTGTATGTGAACGAGTGTGTGTGTGTGTGTGTGTGTGTGTGTGTGTGTGTGTGTGTGTGTGAGTGTGTGTATGTGTGTGTGTGTATGTGCGCGCGCGTGCATGGCCCATTGCTGCTTCCTCTGCTCACTCGAGCGTGTCGTGTAGCCATCGAATCTCCTCGTTCCGTGAGCTCTTTTCTCTTAACCCTTTGCTCCCGGATCGCTGGAGGGTTTTCTCCCATCGTCGTTGTGATTTCCTGCTTTTATTTTTGTTGGTTTTTTTCTGGGGGGGGTTTTCTGTTGTTTTTTTTCTCTTTAGTTTTGGTTCCTGGCCCTGACATCCTTTCCACGCTTCGGTTGTGTTGTTAAGTTAACCTTGTTCTGAATGTAGCTTTGGTGTCGCTGACCGTTGTAATGTTGATTGTGGCTACGTTTTTTTAGCTCTTGTCTGTTTGCCCATTAGCTTTGTGCCGGGGGGAGATAGATCTACGTCGTTCAGCCTCACCTTGTATTTGTATGTTTTCTGTGCGGTGTCTGGGGTCTGGTGCTATCAGCTGTCTGTTGTCAATTTGGTGTGTTTGTCCCTCGAGAGTTGTGATACGTAACTCCGTGACCGCGAATACTTTCTCTTGTTTTGATTAATTGGGGATGATTTCGTTTGTGGCGGGAGGGTCGGGGATGATGTCTTTGTCGTCTGTTCCTCGTTCTGGTCATTATTACTGTTGTTGTGATTATCTGTTACTGGCCAAAATGTGACCTCCGCTTTTGCTGACTGGTGGGAAAACGACCACTCACTCACACCATTTTTTTACTGACTGAAGTGTCTTTAGGCCATTCCCAAAAGGGGGGGGGGGAGGCATTTCTCGTTCATGCATTCTACGTAAATGGGCTGATTCAGCATGTCACGCTCATAACTGCTGCTTTTTCTTTCCTAATCCTTACTATTGTCATTTTCTTTACTTCTTTTGTATGTTTGTCACACTTTTGTGACCTGCTGTTTCCGGGGTGCCTTGATAGTTGAAGCAGACTTTGTGCTGTTGAAGCTGGAGAGGTGAGCAGAGTAAGTCCGCTTCCCTGTAAATTTAAGACTTCTCTGTTGACGCCCACCCCTTGGCGCTCATATGACCTTAAGCAGTTACGAGCACTGTAAAACCTCTACTGAAACAAGCTTTTCCCCTGCACTAAATCCCCATTATTGTGTCCTTGTGTTTCTCTTTAATACTCAAACGAACAAAGAAACGGGTACTCGTAGATCCTTTGTCGTGTATTAGGGTCTTTCTTTTTCTTTTTCTTAGCATTGACTCATCCTTATCCTGTCTTTGTGGGTGGTTGGCGGGTGCTCTGGTGTGGTCTGCTCCTTCTTTTCTATCAAACATCTATCGTCTTTATCTCCCCTCCTACATTTTTATGTTTGTCACTCCCTTTGTAACTCCTCTAATCTTCTGGCACTCATATGACCTTATGCAGTTGCGAGCGCCGTAACACCTCTACTAAAGCATCCCGTCTTTGTCCTTCACATTCAAACAAATGTATTTTGCGCTTGGCAGCAAGTACAACAACAACAACAACAACAACAACATTTTTAAATGAACAGAGACGTTGTTGTTTTTTTTTATCTCATTACAAACATAAGACCGCTTTCTTTACTTTCACTGTCTGTCTTTTGTTTTTTTCTATCCTCCAGCAGTTAGTGGCCGTTATTGAGTCGATGCGCTTCTCTAGAGCCACGCGCTCCACTGCTCACACACACATATTATACACCCACACATACCCACATATATACCCCCC